GTGGTCAGAGCAGAGAGCTGGGCCCCAGGGCTTGTAGGTTCAAGTCCAGGCTTGGGGTGGGGAGTAGGGTCTAGTGGTCAGAGCAGAGAGCTGGGCCCCAGGGCTTGTAGGTTCAAGTCCAGGCTTGGGGTGGGGAGTAGGGTCTAGTGGTCAGAGCAGAGAGCTGGGCCCCAGGGCTTGTAGGTTCAAGTCCAGGCTTGGGGTGGGGAGTAGGGTCTAGTGGTCAGAGCAGAGAGCTGGGCCCCAGGGCTTGTAGGTTCAAGTCCAGGCTTGGGGTGGGGAGTAGGGTCTAGTGGTCAGAGCAGAGAGCTGGGCCCCAGGGCTTGTAGGTTCAAGTCCAGGCTTGGGGTGGGGAGTAGGGTCTAGTGGTCAGAGCAGAGAGCTGGGCCCCAGGGCTTGTAGGTTCAAGTCCAGGCTTGGGGTGGGGAGTAGGGTCTAGTGGTCAGAGCAGAGAGCTGGGCCCCAGGGCTTGTAGGTTCAAGTCCAGGCTTGGGGTGGGGAGTAGGGTCTAGTGGTCAGAGCGAAGGGGGCATCTGGGAGTCAGGATGTCTGGCTACAGGAGAGGCTTTGGAGGGCAGATGAGTGGTACCCCTACTGCTGGAAGGGGGATGCTCGGGCTGGCACGTTAACTAGCATTGGAGCAGCATTTTCTTGTGCCCAGGCCAGGCCTTTCTCTGGCCGAGGACCGGCCCAGCCCTCCTGCCTGGTAGCCTTGGCCAGGCCGGGCCGCAGAGCTGAGCCAGGCGCCCCAGGGCCGGTGCTGCTGGGCTGGCGATGGGGAGGCTGGGCCGGCACCGTGGGCTCAGGGCAGCAGGCGTGGTGCAGGCCGGAGGGCTCCCGAGGTGCTGCCGCTGCTGCGTTGGCGAGCCAGGCCACGCGCGCTGGCTCAGCGCCCAGCTCACGACCCTGCGCTTCCGCCGCCTCGGGGGACGATGGCTCAGGGCTTTGTCTGCCTCTTGCATGGGGCTGGAAGATTTCTGGTCTCCGCCCCCCGGCGCGTGGCTACGGGTGGTACCGACCAAG